TGTATAAATGACTTGTTGTGTGCTCTACACTAAGCTTTCTTTGCAGTAGCCAAAAGAGATGAGTTAACTATAACAAACATATTTTCATAGGGTGAAAAAAACACTAGAAAAAAAAACTGGTGACACTCCTAAAAAAACGCAGGAAAAGTAGGGATCCGGACTGACATGCTTAAATGCTCAGATTAATGACTTCCTCCTTGTTAGGAGTCCACCCTGCCAAAATGCAGTTTTTTTCATTCACGCTATCTGAGATCCTCAGCTCGAGGAGGAAGCATAATGTAGCCGCTCCTTTACTTCTTGAATTACTGCCGTATGGTGCTTAAAGATATTACCGGCATCTCAAGAAAGGGTAACGTGGGTTTTATGAGCGGTTTTGCCCTAAGAGGCTTGTGGCTCCGCCATTGATACACAATACTTCTGCTAATAGCCTTTATACAAATTCTGTTCACAGATCCCTTCAGAAACACAACTGTATCTAAATCGTTCAGCTCAAAGGCTGATAATTGACTTTTAATTGGTCTTAATTCCTTTCACCCTGGACATTTTCCCCAAGGCCACACAAACATGTTGCATCGAGTAAACACAAAGTGCGGCCTGCATGGGAAGAGACTGCCCTGATTGTGATCCGCTTCAGGAAAGATTCAGTTCTGATACTTTGATACTGAATGACTGCCATAATAATATACAATATTTGCATGCTACCCCAAGGTCATTTAAACAATACCATGATACTACGTTCATAAAATAATGTACTTTTTGTAAGTGAAGGACACAGGTATATTCAATAGTTCTCTACTAGTGAGTAAACCAATATTAAACACAAATATTAAAATGCAACTAACTATATAAATCAAGATTAATTAGGATTACAAAATAAATAGGCTTATCTTTTTAAGTGGAAGAGAAAATGCTTTCTATACGTTTCTGCTATGTAATACCCAACATATATGAACATTGAAAACCCAGTTTCAACAGAATGTGATCATTTTAATATTATTAGCTGTGAATAAACTTTTAAAGGGATCATATGATGCGATTTCAAGTTTTCCTTTCTCTTTGGAGTGTTACAAGCTGATTGTGCATAGATAAGATCCCTGAAGTTGCAAAGACTAAAGTCTCAAAACCAAAGAGATATTCTTTATCAAAGTTAAGACTCTGCCACGCCCCCCTAAAACGGCTCGTTCTAACACGCCCCCACATATCTACCTCACTATGTGGAAATATTTGCATAATGCCGCCCAAATGTTCACGCAAAGAAAGAAGGCGTGGTTTCATTAACCGCAGTTAGTGTTGAAGCAGCCATGTCAGGGAGACGCTGTGTGTTTCTAGGCGAAAGCAAAAGCACTTTATGAACAGGCTTATCCTATCTGCAGGGGAAACTACTGTACATTCATCTGACACCTTAAGCTTCATGTATAAATGACTTGTTGTGTGCTCTACACTAAGCTTTCTTTGCAGTAGCCAAAAGAGATGAGTTAACTATAACAAACATATTTTCATAGGGTGAAAAAAACACTAGAAAAAAAAAACTGGTGACACTCCTAAAAAAACGCAGGAAAAGTAGGGATCCGGACTGACATGCTTAAATGCTCAGATTAATGACTTCCTCCTTGTTAGGAGTCCACCCTGCCAAAATGCAGTTTTTTTCATTCACGCTATCTGAGATCCTCAGCTCGAGGAGGAAGCATAATGTAGCCGCTCCTTTACTTCTTGAATTACTGCCGTATGGTGCTTAAAGATATTACCGGCATCTCAAGAAAGGGTAACGTGGGTTTTATGAGCGGTTTTGCCCTAAGAGGCTTGTGGCTCCGCCATTGATACACAATACTTCTGCTAATAGCCTTTATACAAATTCTGTTCACAGATCCCTTCAGAAACACAACTGTATCTAAATCGTTCAGCTCAAAGGCTGATAATTGACTTTTAATTGGTCTTAATTCCTTTCACCCTGGACATTTTCCCCAAGGCCACACAAACATGTTGCATCGAGTAAACACAAAGTGCGGCCTGCATGGGAAGAGACTGCCCTGATTGTGATCCGCTTCAGGAAAGATTCAGTTCTGATACTTTGATACTGAATGACTGCCATAATAATATACAATATTTGCATGCTACCCCAAGGTCATTTAAACAATACCATGATACTACGTTCATAAAATAATGTACTTTTTGTAAGTGAAGGACACAGGTATATTCAATAGTTCTCTACTAGTGAGTAAACCAATATTAAACACAAATATTAAAATGCAACTAACTATATAAATCAAGATTAATTAGGATTACAAAATAAATAGGCTTATCTTTTTAAGTGGAAGAGAAAATGCTTTCTATACGTTTCTGCTATGTAATACCCAACATATATGAACATTGAAAACCCAGTTTCAACAGAATGTGATCATTTTAATATTATTAGCTGTGAATAAACTTTTAAAGGGATCATATGATGCGATTTCAAGTTTTCCTTTCTCTTTGGAGTGTTACAAGCTGATTGTGCATAGATAAGATCCCTGAAGTTGCAAAGACTAAAGTCTCAAAACCAAAGAGATATTCTTTATCAAAGTTAAGACTCTGCCACGCCCCCCTAAAACGGCTCGTTCTAACACGTGATCAGTCGATCGCGTGACTCTGTAAATGCATTTATGATTGTAAGATAAAGATAAAGCAACATAGAAGTCCCTGATGCACCTCTGCAGTGAATCTTAAATATAATAAATAGGCTGTCTGATATTTTCCATTACAACAACTGAATTAGGCCTACATCTAATAAAATGTATTAAAAAAAATACAAATATTTACTTAAAAATGATATATTATGCATAAAATATATAGGCTACATATCCAATATAAATTACTCTTTTTAAAAGTAGTATTCGTTATATCCTTTTTAGTCATATAACGTATTTTAAAAATGCTCTTTTGTTATCAGATAAATTAACCTCGGCAAAAATTCAGGTACAATTATTCAGTATTATCATAGGGAATAACATATTTAGCTGTTTAAATCAGGGGTCACCAAACTCGGTCCTGGAGGGCCGGTGTCCTGCACCTGAACCAGCTAATCAAGATCTTACAGGCATACTAGAAACTTCCGGCCCTCCAGGACCGAGTTTGGAGACCCCTGGTTTAAATCATCCCACTGTTAACCATAGATGAGTTTGTTATTAAGAACCGAGCACTGAAGGGTTCTATTCTGTCCGTTTTCTTATTATTAGTAGTCTAAATAACCAAAAGTGTATGCATTTATTTGACTAAAACTGTCTACATACTTGGTGGGATGGTCCCAAATCCCAAATCCACACATTTATTTAATACTAGGTGGCGCTATGATAACTATTTGTAAAAAAAAAAATTGCCAGGAGTTCAGGATCAAAATTTCTCTGAATTCCTGGGTCAAGACAAACAAAGCGTACGCCTCAGATGTAATTTCTGTCTATAAAATAGTTCGAATCATGGCAACAGCAAAAAATGTGATTTAAACCAATGAAATTTCTAGGTGTGGCCCACAATGACAAACTGTTAAAAAAAAATACCTGAGCGACATCAGGATGTTTAGAGGATATGCACCATATTTAAACCGGTTATGCGTGTAGGACCCAGCGAACACAAAACATGTTTAGTACATTTCAAAATGTTGCATTTTGGTCACAGTAGCTACAACCTTTTAAAATTGCAGTACAATTAAAAAAAAAATTAAGTAACCTGTTATCGGAATAATTATAATGTAACATGTTTTGTATATATTAAAATGTCATATCAATGGAGGCCTAATAATAGTCATTGTGTATAGTACAGAAGTCTAGCACGTGACACAAAATATTAAGGCAGCATTGATGATGATCTGTGATCACCAACTGCTGTCCAACAACAAAGGGTAGAGATCAACAGAACAGCCTTGGACAGTTTGGCTGATAGGTAGTAGCGGCTATCATTAGATTTGCTGGTGGAAATCATGTTCTTGCTTGCAGATATGCATCTTCAGATGGCTCTGGTGCTCATATGGCCTACATATTGTGCTCTCCGGATATTGCACTTACAATACACAGACCAGTTTGACTTAAATATATATATTGGCTCATGTCTTCGTGATGATTTGTGGAATGCAAATTCCTTTGATAACTTCTTATTAAGCTTGTGATATTTGGTATTTTAAAACTATGAGCACATTTGGCCCAGTGGATTTTGAGGAAAAGGCTATTTTTATTTTTTCACACACTCTCACTACTTCATTTAATTACTAACCTACTGTAGCTACCATTACAAGAACTATAACTATTGGTACTAGTTAGAGGGTTAGTTCACCCAAAAATGAAAACTCTGTCATCCTTTACAAACCTGTATAAATGTATTTTTTTCAGCTGAACACAAAATATATTTTGAAGAAGGTGGGTCCCCATTGACTTCCATAGTATATATATATATTTATATGTACATGTGTATATATATATATTCATACTATTGAAGTCAAAGGTGGCCAGCAACTGTTTAGTTACTCACATTCTTCAAAATATATTTTTTTGGGTGAACTATTGCTTTAAGACAGTACATGTAAGATTGGGGGTAATGGTATAAGAATCATCCACTGAAAATCCCATATTTACTGACCACTAATCTGAATATTAATGCATCCCAATATGATGGAAAAATATGACAGTAACCCTTTCAAATAAAATGTTAAATAAAAGCATAACATTTTCAGGTACAAATGGCACCATTTCTTGAAAATGACAGATCAATTCTTTCACAAAGTGTATATAGTGGTGAATTGAAAAGTGCTTATGTACAACCCTTCCGTTTTGAGAATAAAAGGAAAGCATTTGTTACAAATAATACACACTACAAAGTGTCTCTTTTGTTAATTTTTAATAACTGATTCTTGGGAACCATTACAGCAAGTGGTGAGTGAGTGAGTGAGTTTATAAAAGGCCTTTTTATCGAATCCAGCTGCAATCTAAAGACATTTCAACTGCAAAACTTGGGGCCAGCCCGCCAGCCCTCCCTATTCTTTTTGAAAACAAATGCTTTCTTGGTTCTAATGGCAATCACATCAGTATAAAGTTGCTTAAAGAACAAACGTGACCTAATTGCACAGTATTTCATCCACATGGTTTTTCAAAGGAGAGAGTAAATTCCGGAATACCAATGAGCAGACACTGATTTATGGGATTGCAGTTATGTTTTGTACCGTTTCTGTTTTAACATCAGATTTGTTACTACAAAGATCTGGACAGACAGAGAAATCGGATCAGAGAGAAAATGCTAAACAGTCTTCTTTGATCTTTTAAGGGGAGGTACTAGAGGTGATCCCTGCATATGACAAAAATTTAAAATATCCTATTTTTTTACTGCATTAAATAAAATGATGTGTGCATGTTAATTAACATGCTTTTCACACTTTTCTAAAGATAAAATTAAATGCTAATGAAAATCCAGCAATATCATTTGAGCAAAATGGTAAAACACTTGCTATATGATCAAAATGTCATTTCAATGCAAAATAGTTCATAGAGTCTCAAAATTGTTCAATTCATGTCACTTGTGCATGTAATACCTCCTCTTAAGCCCATCAAGAAAATATTCTCCAATTCTCACCTCCAACTGATTTAAAAAAATTAAATGACTCAGCAAATGATTCAAAAACAGAAACAAACGCTGTTGGTTCGATGTTCATTTGAATTGAACTACAGGTTGGGAGTTGTTCTTGAAAATGACAGATCAATTCTTTCACAAAGTGTATATAGTGGTGAATTGAATAGTGCTTATGTACAACCCTTCCGTTTTGAGAATAAAAGGAAAGCATTTGTTACAAATAATACACACTACAAAGTGTCTCTTTTGTTAATTTTTAATAACTGATTCTTGGGAACCATTACAGCAAGTGGTGAGTGAGTTTCCCAACAGATAAAAGGCCTTTTTATCGAATCCAGCTGCAATCTAAAGACATTTCAACTGCAAAACTTGGGGCCAGCCCTATCATTTTCCCTATTCTTTTTGAAAACAAATGCTTTCTTGGTTCTAATGGCAATCACATCAGTATAAAGTTGCTTAAAGAACAAACGTGACCTAATTGCACAGTATTTCATCCACATGGTTTTTCAAAGGAGAGAGTAAATTCCGGAATACCAATGAGCAGACACTGATTTATGGGATTGCAGTTATGTTTTGTACCGTTTCTGTTTTAACATCAGATTTGTTACTACAAAGATCTGGACAGACAGAGAAATCGGATCAGAGAGAAAATGCTAAACAGTCTTCTTTGATCTTTTAAGGGGAGGTACTAGAGGTGATCCCTGCATATGACAAAAATTTAAAATATCCTATTTTTTTACTGCATTAAATAAAATGATGTGTGCATGTTAATTAACATGCTTTTCACACTTTTCTAAAGATAAAATTAAATGCTAATGAAAATCCAGCAATATCATTTGAGCAAAATGGTAAAACACTTGCTATATGATCAAAATGTCATTTCAATGCAAAATAGTTCATAGAGTCTCAAAATTGTTCAATTCATGTCACTTGTGCATGTAATACCTCCTCTTAAGCCCATCAAGAAAATATTCTCCAATTCTCACCTCCAACTGATTTAAAAAAATTAAATGACTCAGCAAATGATTCAAAAACAGAAACAAACGCTGTTGGTTCGATGTTCATTTGAATTGAACTACAGGTTGGGAGTTGCCATTGTATGCTAATATTTTAATAATATTAAAAAGGTATGCACTAATATTGACTGAAACTGCAATACTGGTTCTTGAAGCTTCACGGTGCATCTTAACTAGCTAATTCTGCTGAACATGGTTGCCGAATACTGTATAATTCATACTTTAAAATTCATGTCTCAAAAAAACTAAAATCAACACAGAAATGAGCAGGTATAGAATAACGGAGCCTGTCTGTTTAATTTACTTGTTTGCTACAGTATCTAGTGACCAGTGACCAGCCCAAGACCTTCAAACCTTTTGCTGGGAGTTGGCCAGTTTATCTCTTTGAATATACCATTTTTAAAAAGCATAAATGGCAAATAAATTAAACCGTATAAATTGAGGCCAAAAATGTTTTCTAAACTGTTACAGCCAACTGAGAGTATAGCAGGGTATTGGTTTTTCCGAGGATTCAAGTATCCTGACCAACATTCTCTCATTTGTTAAGTCAGACATCACTGTCCATCTCGGAGGTAGTCTACAGGGTCGGTCTTTCAGTTTGTCCGTGTTGTACCAATGACCTTAAAAACCACTTCCGTTATGTCTTTTTATAGCATCTCAGGTCATTTTAGATACTCGTTGATTTGTGGTTTCTGTTTGTTCCTCTATAAAGTCATTGTTTTGGTGTTAACTGTAAACAGAAGATGAGATGTCCAGTGAAGCATTAGTCCAAACGTCTAGGCATCAAATTGGCTTCATCTTTTCCCAATACACCTCCATTCTTCCCTAAACACCTGAGAACTGTTTTAGCCCTCATCAGTGTTCTTCCTAGACAGAGAAACAGAGTTTAGGATGATATAGAAATATTAGGATTCTGAATTCTTTATGAACAAAGATCTATTAACCCCCTGTGTGAAGGAAGTGTCTTCTTGATGGATTCCGTTTGCAGAGTTTGCACCAGCATGTGCCTGTGAGCACAACGAAAGAGTAAAAAACAGAACATTTTACACAGAACATATTACACTGTTAGACTGTGTTAGTATGCAAAACAAAAATAGTGTCCACTGGAGAAATAGCCAGGAACAGTTGTAGGTTGAGGTGAGGTGCTAACTGTCTGCTGTTTACCTGGTTCTTGTCCGGACGGGTGCGCATGGCCTGCACTAGCTGGTCCACGTGTTGGTTGTGTTCCAGAGCGTTCCTCAGGGCATCTTCTGTGCTCAGCAGCCTTTGACGCAGATGGGCCACCTCTGTGTCTGAAGCAGATGGGTCCATCATCGAGTATCGACGATGGTCTGGAGACGACCTCTCCCGACCCTGATATAAAGAGTGTATTATATAAGAAAAATATCATATATATATATATATATGTGTGTGTGTGTGTGTAAAAACATATATGTGACCCTGGAGCACAAAACCAGTCTTAAGTCGCTGGGGTATATTTGTAGCAATAGGGAAAAAGACATTGTATGGGTCAAAATGATTGATTTTTCTTTTATGCCAAAAATCATTAGGATATTAAGTAAAGATCATGTTCCATGAAGATATTTTGTACAATTCCTACTGTAAATATATTAAAACTAAATTTTTGATTAGTAATATGCATTGCTAAAAATGATTTTGGACAACTTTAAAGGCGATTTTCTCAATATTTTGTTTTTTTTGCACCCTCAGATTCCAGATTTTCAAACCATATGATTGTTTATCCTAACAAACCATACATCAATGGAAAGCGTATTTATTCAGCTTTCAGATGATGTATAAATCTCAATTTCGAAAAATTGGGAAAAAGGTTTTGTGGTCCAGGGTCACATATAAACAAACTTTTGCTTATTTTACTTTGAGATATACATAAAAATAAATCTTATTATTTATTGCATGACTTAATAAAATAAATCCTGTACATTGACCCCAAATTTTGAACATGTTGTTCGTTAAAACTTCTTTGTGCTTTGATTTATTTACCACAAAATGAAAAAAATCACAAAAATATAAAGCGGTACAACTGCTTTTAACATTGATAATAAGAGATGTTTATTAAACAGCAAATCAGCATATTAGAATGATTTCTGAAGGATCATGTGACACTGAAGACTGGAGTAATGACGCTGAAAATTCAGCTTTGCCATCACAGGAATAAATTACATTTTGAAACATTAAAACAAAAAAACAGCTATTTAAATTGTAATTATATTTCATAATATTACTGTTTTTACTGTATTTTTGATCAAATAAATGCAGCACTTTTAAACAATCATGTATATACAGTGGGTACGGAAAGTATTCAGACCCCCTTAAATTTTTCACTCTTTATTATATTGCAGCCATTTGCTAAAATCATTTAAGTTAATTTTTTTTCCTCATTAATGTACACACAGCACCCCATATTGACAGAAAAACACAGAATTGTTGACATTTTTGCAGATTTATTAAAAAAGAAAAACTGAAATATCACATGGTCCTAAGTATTCAGACCCTTTGCTCAGTATTTAGTAGAAGCACCCTTTTGATCGAATACAGCCATGAGTCTTTTTGGGAAAGAGGCAACAAGTTTTTCACACCTGGATTTGAGGATCCTCTGCCATTCCTCCTTGCAGAGCCTCTCCAGTTCTGTCAGGTTGGATGGTAAACGTTGATGGACAGCCATTTTTAGGTCTCTCCAGAGATGCTCAATTGGGTTTAAGTCAGGGCTCTGGCTGGGCCATTCAAGAACAGTCACAGAGTTGTTGTGAAGCCACTCCTTCGTTATTTTAGCTGTGTGCTTAGGGTCATTGTCTTGTTGGAAGATAAACCTTCGGCCCAGTCTGAGGTCCTGAGCACTCTGGAGAAAGTTTTCGTCCAGGATAACCCTGTACTTGGCCGCATTCATCTTTCCCTCGATTGCAACCAGTCGTCCTGTCCCTGCAGCTGAAAAACACCCCCACAGCATGATGCTGCCACCACCATGCTTCACTGTTGGGACTGTATTGGACAGGTGATGAGCAGTGCCTGGTTTTCTCCACACATACCGCTTAGAATTAAGGCCAAAAAGTTATATCTTGGTCTCATCAGACCAGAGAATCTTATTCAGGTGTTTTTTAGCAAACTCCATGCAGGCTTTCATGTGTCTTGCACTGAGGAGAGGCTTCCGTCGGGCCACTCTGCCATAAAGCCCCGACTGGTGGAGGGCTGCAGTGATGGTTGACTTTCTACAACTTTCTCCCATCTCCCAACTGCATCTCTGGAGCTCAGCCACAGTGATCTTTGGGTTCTTCTTTACCTCTCTCACCAAGGCTCTTCGCCCCCGATAGCTCAGTTTGGCCGGACAGCCAGCTCTAGGAAGGGTTCTGGTCATCCCAAACGTCTTCCATTTAAGGAATGGAGGCCACTGTGCTCTTGGGAACCTTAAGTGCAGCAGAAATTTTTTTGTAACCTTGGCCAGATCTGTGCCTTGCCACAATTCTGTCTCTGAGCTCTTCAGGCAGTTCCTTTGACCTCATAATTCTCATTTGCTCTGACATGCACTGTGAGCAGTAAGGTCTTATATAGACAGGTGTGTGGCTTTCCAAATCAAGTCCAATCAGTATAATCAAACACAGCTAGACTCAAATGAAGGTGTAGAACCATCTCAAGGATGATCAGAAGAAATAGACAGCAC